CCCCCCTCCCTACCTTACCTTTTCTTTTTCGTTCTTTCTTTCTTTCTTTCTTTCTTTCTTTTTTTTTCTTTCTTTTTGTTTATTTCTACGGCTGCGACTTGTATCATCTCAATGAAATCTTGTTAAAAAATAGGAGTTTTGAATCTTGGAGTCTCAATCAAGTCAGAGATACTTGGAGGTTGCTATAGCCAATGCGGCACTTCCCTGAGACAATGACAACCGATATCTGTGTTTGGGCCAAGTACTCGGTCTGGGCACTCTGACGAGCCCACGTTTTCTTGAATTGGGTGTTCCACTCGGGGATATTAAAAATATTTAAAAAATGATAACAAATCCCCATAAATAATGAATTTTTTGTGATATGTTTTTTTTTTTATATATATGTTTTCTCTCATTTTAACAAAGATTGGAAAGTGTTTGAAAATACCCCCAGTGTTGATTCTTTAGAATCTAATTTTTTACCATTTTTTTAACCTCATTTTGATGTGCTTTGCTTAATCTTACTTTAAACATAAATTTTTTATTTTTTGGGATTTTTTTATTTTTATAGTTTTTTTGACAATTTTTTTTGCTACAACAGTACACAGCCTGCTCCAGCCGAGATACTTGGACTCAGGCCAAGTACTCAGATCATGCATAGGCGGAGTACTCGCCCCAAGTAGTGCTTTTGAACACCGACCAAAATCATACCCAAATCTCCACTTTGCATAACAGAAAACTCGTAATAAAATAAACTTGATTTTGAAACAGCTTTGGTTGTGCTTCATCGGACCCATATTCAGGGGATGCTCTCACATTGAAATATTAGACACCCTTGACATAGAATTTTTATACAATGCAATCAAATCCAGAGCAAATACACTCCCGGGATAAAACTGGTTTGAGTCGAATACTGACTCTTAGCAAATACACTCCCAGGATAAAACCGGTCTGAGTGAAATACTGACTTTTAGAGTTGCACTCTCTAAAAAGCCTTATAGGGACTACCAACCTTAGACCGATCTGCCTTGTACCTAGGACTGATAGTGCGTTGGCTAAGAATCATAGAGAAATAAATCCCACTATGAATGATTGAGAATGTATCGAGTATTCTTGCTTTCTCAACTAACTGCAATGAATACCCTTAGGAGAAGAGTATTCTTCCTTATCGGCTCGAAAGGACCATTGCTTCCACTTTTTCTCAGACATGTCATCCACAATTCATCTTTTAATCCAAAGCTCATATATGCCTAAAAGTCAAAAAAAAAGAAAAAAAAAAGAAAGAACAATTATAAAATGAAGGAAAATTGTTTCATGCGGATAGGACCGCATTTCTACATATGCGGTCTAGAAAGTGTAAAGCATCCATCTGAAAGATGGATGCAAGTAGGTGTTCCATCTAAAAACAATGGAAAATAACGGTCCAAACGTTTTTTTACAAAATTATTATTTCTACTTTTTAAAATTTATTTATTTATTCATATTCATGATCTCTATGTTAGAGGTTATATGTCCTTAAAAATTAAGTCTTAAAATCTATCTCAAAAATAGATTTATTAAGAAGCCCGCATTT